TTTTTTGTCAATTTTTTGGTCTCCCTTTACACTGGTTTACCCCCCAGCCCCTGATGTTGGGCTGTTGTCTGCACCCCCATTTATTCCACGCCCCACTGAGAGAATCCGTTCTTACATTCTGTGCAGTTTGAGTTTGCCACGTGAGGAATCGTAATGTCGGGGGCTGCTAGAGGACCTTTGAATGACGCCCCACAGTCCGAGGCAGATGTATGGCTGTCCGTTCTGTTAATGATCAAACGACAAATTATTTGAAGATGAACTATGGCCTTCTAGAGGTTCTAAAAAATTATGGTTCCTAAACCGCGCACCGTGACTTGAACACATATCCCATAATGCACTGCACCCGTCACATTGCCGAGTTGTAAAACAAAGCACACCTGCTCATCCCAGATGCCAGTGTCCTGGCCCCTTCCCCCTGGCCCCCAGTTCGCACTTTTCGGTTGGGCTCTGGTAGGTCCTGCGCCAAATAAACGTTTAATTTCCATTCAAGCACATAAGTGGGCAGACACAGCTGCTGTGTTTTCTTGTCAATGTCCTTTTCAGGGTGTAATCGTCTTCCTGGAGGGGGTGCTGTCTGCAGAATCCACTTACTCTTATCGCGTTAAGCGAGTTGAGTTTTCTACTGAGATGCACTGAGAAGATTAAATTGTCTGTGATAGAAAGCCAGACTTGTGTTTTTTTGTCCAGCATGAGGAGAACACTCAGATCCCACACGAAGAGCAGAGCCAATTTTCGAACCCTGAAGGTGTGAGGGAAGAGTGCCACCCACTGACCTTATATATGGGGCTAAGAGTTAAATAAACTCCCAACTGGAATCCCTACCCTGAGTTTAAGGTATAACTTAAGTACCTTTAAAAAGATGTTGGACCCTGACATATTTTCCCTGGGAATTTAGAGAATTACAGTCTCCAAAAAAACAGAATAATTCTCAGGTTGAACCCACAGCGCGGATGTCATACCACATACATGGTGACTTCACTAAGCAAACACGCATGAGCATCATGCTGCTTGCTGGCCGTGGACACGCATGGGAGAGAAAGGCTTTCAGGCGCACGGGGGGGGGGGGGGGGACACGCGCATGAAACCACACCGCTGTGGGAGCCAGATCACGTTGCCGAGTCTTTCCGGTTTTCAGTCTTTCGCCAGGTGGGAACCGCTTCCGACGAGAAGAGCCCCGGGTAGCGTTTCATTCCGCGGTCGGAACCCTCAAGGTCAATTTTCCAAATTCTCCTCTCGGTCTGGAGGAAAGGGGGCCAGCGAGAGCGTGTGACCACCTCCAGGTGGGGGCATCAAACTGACCGATAACACTACCTAATAAAATGAAGCTCCCCCGCTCCCACAAAGCATAACATTTTATTAACCTCCGTCCCACTTTCCCCTGATGTCTAATTTCAGGGTTTCCATGGAAATCCTCCCGAATCGCGTTTCTGGCCGCAGAGGGACGCTGTGGGGCGTCTCGCTTCGCGCCTTAATTGAGTTTTTAACCCGCCGCCCCCATCCTTGTTCTCGACTCTCGCTTCTCGTCGGCGGCTCGCAGACTCGCGCTAATAAACGCTTTAATGAGCGACACAGAGTCAGAACTGATTCATTACGCTGTCGATCACAGTCATTTCTACGCCATTTAATTGCATTCTCTTTCAAACTTTGAAAATGTTCATATGGATTCTGGGGCCACATTCCTCACAGTGGCACTGCCGTGCAGGTACGTGTCGCAATGGCACCAGCTGCACTGGAGTTTATTATACACTGTTTATTTGTAGTGTGTAAATGCTCCCACCCCCCACACAGCGGCCCCCCAAATAAAGTCTCTGTAGAATTAAGCTTCTCTGCCCGTCCCCAAGAGCCCCTTGACAAGTTGTGGCAGTCACCCGACGCCTTTGTATTAAATGTGATTTCAGTTGGAGCCACAATCCCAGGAAAGCTCCCCCCCCTCCGATTAGAGAGACATGAGAATGATAAAACCTGAGTGGTGATGTCATCTTCAAGAGGGGCCGGGAGGCGAAGCAGCCAAATATGGGAAACACTCTCCCCTGAGCAGTCCTGCCACGTCTGAAACGGCGCTCCTCTCTTTCAGTAAACACTCCATGGGGAAGCGTCTCTGCATGTTCATGCATGTTCATGCATGTTCCACTTCACTGCCTCCCTGCTGATACAGGCTTTGCGTCACACTGCTCGGCGATCTGCGTATCTCACATGTTTACACTTAAAGTTTGTCGTGACGTAAAGTCTGATGCACAGCGTAGCTGGGGAAGCATCATCCGGCTTCGTCTTCGTGCTCGCAGACGGTCACCTCCCTTTCTGCCATGGACGCTTCATTTATCCCAAAGGCATGCACTGTGATGGCAGCACTGTGATCGCAGCACTGCGGCGACTTTCCAGGGAGGGACAACGGCGGACCAAAAGCGGAACGCCGTTCTCTGCAATGTCCGTGACGCGGGAACTTCCACACCTTTGACACTTGATTCGTCCCCGGAGCTGGCTGTTTCACGAAAGCATGTTCATATAACAGCGGACGGCTTATGAAGGGTGTAGAGAAAGCAAGCGCAACAAATAATCTGGCCAGCAGGGGGCAGGCAGAGAAGCAAGACATGGGGGGGGGGGGTGGATACATTTAAAAAGTCAGGGGCTTTCATTGCTTTTCCCCGCTTATGGTGCACGCGTTGGCGTGGTCCCTGAGGACGGTGGCGCTGATGAAAGCCAAGTGCGGGATTACACTGCCGTCTCTGCCTCGCTCTGGCAGGGGAAGCGGAACGTGAGCAGCCTGAGTGAGGAACAGAGCCAGTGAGCCGAGCTTCCAGCGACACGGTACAAACACGCCAGTATGATCCAGCTAGAACATGTATGACTGACTCATACGCTCTGACCAGGCCACACCCTCCTACGGTCACCAGCCGCGTTAAACCGGATACTCGGCTCATCCAGTCAAGCACGTTTCGGGCTGGGCTGCTATGGTACGAGAGCCCATGTGACATCCGTCCTCCTGCACAATAGCACACGCAGCCGTACGTGCATCTGACCGCCTCTGTCCTTGGGAGTAATCCCTCATCTCCATGGAAACGGTCCCGGTCACAACCCACTTCCTGTTTGCGGGATTCATTCCTGTACGCAGTTTCACACTACGCTATGTTTTCACGTTCCTTCCTGTGGAAGGTACACGTTCCCTCATCGGACCGCAGACGCAGGCAGGACCCGTGTGGGAAATGAGACCGCGGGACTGTAAACACATTCTCCACTTTTATTTACTCCTCACACACTCAAACAGCCCCCCAGGACAGTGTAGTCTCTGAAGACCCCTCAGTTAGTGGAAATGACATAATACAGGTCGGTGAGAAGCAATGACCCAACATATCGGCACCCCCTCCCCCCCACCTGCTAAAAGGAATCGCAGGCAGATCCTCGGTTGGTCCTCCACACTAAAATGCGACAAACATGGTGAAATGCAACGGAATAGTCCCCAGGGCGGAGCTGCTGGCCGTCGATATGGAATGAGTGGGACACCCCTGCTCCATGAGGGCCAGACCTTGGGGGTGGGGGGCTGGACCATCACGTTCATCCGAATCTGCAGTCCACTCAAAGTCAAGGTTTGATATCTACAGGAAGAAAGCCAGAAGCATTGCCCTGGGCCAAACTCTATGTCCACTATGGTGGACATCTTCAGACAGGGCCTGTGCTGCCCCCTCCGCAGGAGACGCTGGCACCTAACAGCTCCTTCAGTGTCCAGTGGAAAGATGAACAGAAACTGAAGAGAACCTGGCCAAGCAGAGAAGCTCTGGTGGCACTCGGGGAGGACGGCCACCGATGCTGGCCTTGCGGGACGGGGAGGGACACCTCGGAGTGTCTCAGGAGCTGCACTGGGCCGATCGGCACGACGGCCTGCCTCCCGTGGGAGCTGGGAAAACGGCAAGAGGGTGGGTCAGGAGACGGCCATGGAGGCGAAGGACCAGGGACATACAGAAAGGCGGGTGTCCTCCATACTGACGCCGTGCTTCAAGGCAGACAAAAAACGAAAAAATAAAACTAAAAATTACAATTCTGTGGCACTCAAAAATGTAAAACCAAAAAAAAAAAAAAACTAAACTTTTTAATCATTCGTGTAAAAAATTGTACAATAAAAATCATAGATATCAAACTGATCGTTTCTCTTTTTGATTTCTAGGAATTAAAGTCAAGCCTGTCTAACTTCTTCATTTCGGCTTCATTTCCTTGTCTGCGATTTTAAAATGTGGGAGCTCATTAAACTTAGCCTGCTATGGAATTTGCCCCGCCCACTGTGACTTCTTCCTGTTCAGCTCAGCCAATAGGAAGGCCTGCCAAGCAAAGTAGTCGACTGGCAGGGCCTCCCATTGGACAGTGACAGGCAGTGCTGTACACCTCACAGGTCAATATCACGAAGCATGTAAATATTCTGATATGCATGTGGGGGGAGGGGGGGGTTTAAAAAAAAAAAAAAAAGGCAAGCCCTTTCTTATAAGAGCGTCACTGTCCCTCACCTTCCAATAAACAGGCAAGAACAGACAATGAAAAGCACCCCCCCCCCAAAGACACAGTCAGGTAAACATAACAGTGGCAGCACTGGGGTAACGTCCAAGGACAAGGAAGCCAAGTGCACCACAAGTCTGTTCCTCCTCTTCCTTAAGCGCCCGTCCGTCTCTTCCATGAAAAGCGAGGAGGGGCCACGGGGAGGGGGGGCGCAGGGCGGCTGAGTCGTGTGCCGAGATACCCCAGTCAAAAAAACGCCCCTCTCCAGCCGGTCCTGTTCTGGCAGCGCCTCCCCCCCCCTCCTGCCAGTGCTCGTTCAGCAGTCCATGCCTGGCTGCCTCTCTCCCTTTCTCTGGCTCTCTCCCCCCCTCGCCTCTCCCTGGGTCAGCCTAAAAGATCTCCGGCAGTGTGACGTTCCTCAGGAGCCACTGCTGGGACCGGCTGCCATTGCAGTCCCTGACACTGGGCACCTGGCTGTCCTCCTCTGTCGCTTTGTCCAGACACTGGTTACTGTTGACGTGCACGAGTGTCAGCTTCTGCAGGACGGAGACAGAGACAGAGACAGAGACAGAGACAGAGAGAGAGAGTCACTCAGGAGTCAGTCAGCTCAGCCACACCTGTCAGGGTTTGTCCTCACAAAGCCGCTGTTACACAGTGATGTATGCGACCTTCTACAGAGATTGGGGTAAAAACACACAAACTTATGCAGTAGGAAAAGCCCCCCCTCTCCATTCCCTGATCTGTTTATCAAGGTGCGCAGAGACTTTCTCAGGGACAGGTTCTCACGGATTAGGGGGCATCCAGCCCCCACCTTCTGCATGAGCCTGCAGTTCATGTACCCGAGGGCAGCATTAAAACAGCGGGCAGCGAGGCCACAGGCTAACGCTAATGCGCCCCTCTCACGCAGGCTGAGGCTGAGCGCTCTGGGCAGCCGGTCCTCAGTGCGGTGACGGCGCTGACCCCCCCGAAAGCCACCCGGAGGGGACAGCTCCGAAGCGCACCAGGATGGCTGACCTCAGCCACTGCCAAGCAGCCATTACCTGCTAATCTAACCGAAAAGGAGACACGACGAATGGTAAAAACCAGCCACATGCTAACAGCACGAATGGTAAAAACCAGCCACATGCTAACAGCACGAATGGTAAAAACCAGCCAAATGCTAACAGCACGAATGGTAAAAACCAGCCACATGCTAACAGCAGCCATTACTCAGGGTCGGATTCTCGTGGGGGGGGGGTGGTTCAAGGCAGAGGCCAGCTAAGCAGTTCTGCTTTCCTCAACCTCAGATAGATTGGTCGGCTCCTAGCTTCACTGTAAATGAAAACAGATTAATGGTGCGTTCGATTATTTCTCTCCGAGTCGGAACTCGGATGAAATGTCACTTCCAGGTCGGAAACACGCCTCTTTAATGACGTTCATGTTGGACAGAATTTTGTTGTCCGACTTTCCCCTGTGACGTCATTTCAACATGGCGGCTTACGCGCTCAACAGTAATTCTATTTTATAAATCTTTAAAAATGTTTATTTTGTTAAATGTATTAATAGTTATAAATGTAACTGCACATGCTCGATTTAGAGAATACCATATCATGACTGTAAACAGTATCCTATAATGCAATATCAGATTTTTACCAGACTTGTTAGTGTCTTTGGTTTGTTTGTAGTTTGTTTGCCTCTCCAAAAAAGAATATCGCTATGAATGTACTAAAATATTTTATAAAGCTTTTAATGTGGTTTAACTAGTCTGTGTTTCTTGTTTGTTTGTCTCTTGGAAAAAATAATCCCACTCCAATCTGCTAAAATATAAAGCAACAACAGACAGCAGCGTGTTGATGGAGGCCGCCATGTTTGTTCCGAGATGCGGCAGCTCGAACGGGAGATTGTCGGGCATGATGTCACTCACCTTGGAATTTCCGAGTTCTGAGAGAAAAACGAACGCACCACAATGGCTCTCTAATGCTGGTCATTAGCCCCTCCCAAAGGGAAAAAGCCTGCATCCCTATTAAGGGGTTCACAACAGTGGGGGGTAGAGGGTCAGACACTTACGTATTTTATTTTAAATAATCCTGTGAAGGCGTCACTATTTCACTGCACATAATCTCCTGCCAACTTCCCGCTCATGTCTAAGCACTGGTCTGCCTCCCCCACTGATCCCCCCATCCCTGCGCCAGGTGGTCGGACAGTCCTACACATGGGAAAATCCCACATCATGCCCGGTGTTATGGAAGCCGCTGTTTCCATTGTTAAACCAGGTCACCTCCCCCAGAGAGGTCAACATCCCCTTAAAAAAAACAACCAGGGTTTTCACAGAATGGCAAGGAGCCTCATGCGTAGTCTGGAACTCACTATGCGCCCGAGACAAGGTCCAATATGCAGGACAGGGGAGCCCCTAGTGGCTGACTGGAGCTGGCGCCGCCCTGGTGCCAGCTTTGTGAACAGCATTCAGGTGTTATGGAGAAGAACAGCCTGCATATGATGCAGTTTGGGGTCTGGCTTAAGGACCACTGAAGAGTGAGGGGAATGCCCTGTGGCAGAGGGGAGGGGGGTGTGGTCAAAGGGATGACAGAGAGAGGCTCTACTCAGCTGCTTATGACTGAATGAGCTCATGAGGGGCTTCCCTGTCAATGCACCAAGACTGAGGCTGCAGTTCGCACAGCTGCCACTAGCGGATGAGCGAGAGCGAGCGAGCGAAAGCGCTGCCGTGCCTATGTGGTCCGCTGGCAGTTTCCAGGGAGACGCCGATTCCGCAGGGCATTAAGAGCCTCTCGGCAAGCTCTCGACACGCGCGGCGTGCAGCAGCCATGCCTGACTGGGCCGGCGCCACTTCTCAGATGACCACCGGAGGCGCTGGCGGGGAGGCAGATGGAGCGAAGCCTTCCATGAAACACGGTGCCCTTTCTTTATCATCCAGGGTGTGATTTTTAACACCATTACAGCCTAGCAAAGGCTTTTAACCACGTTCTCCGCCGGATGAGTGCAGGTGTTATGATTGGACACTAATGGCTGACATGGGCCCCCCCCACACCCCCAAACCCCCACCTCCACAGCTGGCGTTGGGCGGAGGCTTTCAGCTCACTTCCGAAACGATAGAAGAGAATTCCAAATTCCAGTTCCAGAATACCTAATCCCTGCTCTTGGTTCCAGGACAGCATTTGCGCCCGGGACAATGGCGAGAGAGTTCTGAAGGCGGTCCCAGTCAGGTCCATGCTGGTGGGGGGGAGGTTGGTGAGCAGACACAGAGAACTGATTACACAGCAGAGTCAGCCCCCATGGGAAATAGCGTCCTGTTCAATTCACGGAATGAAATGCCCTGAGAGGTTACCGGAAGCCCGTCCTGAGAGCTGTGACGGCTTCTGTCGGGCTTGGAGGCTCGGTCCCAGGTCTCCTGCCGGCCCACGTTTAGCAGCAGGGCATTCTCCTGTTTTTGAAGCACAGTCTGTTTCTCCTTATATCGTGCCATTCCCATGACCGCAGTGAGAGTTCGAGAGTTCATCCGCAATGATACGGTGGTAGAAGACAGAACTGGTTTTAGGGACTAAAAAAAGCTGCCAGTTCAGGCCCCCAGGGGGCCAGTCGGGATAGTCCATCTCAGGTTAACTACTTCCTGGTTTGGATATTTAAATGAGTAAAAATGTACGGAATGAGTGCTCAGCTCTTCTATGCAAATTCAGGGTGTGGAGCATTCTGGGTAAGGCACTACACAAGCACCTCTCTATGTCATGTAACGCAGAGGAGGGATACTCAACCCAGAGAATGACAGGCCCAATTTCTGCTCTCAGACTGTTGACTAAAGACAGCAGGACCCCCCCGGGTAAAAACATGCTAGAGCAGAGGTCTCCAATTCCAGTCCTGAAAGGTTACTGTCCAGTAGGTTTTCCATCCTACCCGACTTCTGATGAGCCACACCTGCTCCTGGTATTTCCTGAGAAAACCTACTGGTTATTAGCTGACCAGGACTGGACTTTGAGAGCCCTGCGCTCTGGCTCCTCATGGACGAGGAGGAAAATATACCTGGAAGGAGCCTTTCTGAGACCAATAGGTGTCTCTTACAGTAACAATACTGCCCCTTCTCATTTCGTCATAATATCAGTGACCCTCAATCTCTGAATGAACCAATCAACAGGCTTTTATCTGGAAACAAACCAGCTAATTGGCTGGAGGTCTGTTCTGCTGCTGGAAATCACAGTGACAGATGTTCGATGGTGCCTCCTCCCAGATGCTCTGGCAGTTCTGTCTAAGTATTGGATCCGCCTGGGTCTCTAGACTGGATGGTTTCACAGTAGATCCTGCTACTGCGTTCATTCCCCTAATAGGAGGCATGAGAACACAGGAGCTTCTGCAGGAGGGTTTCTGCTCTACACTGTATATAAACATGCATGTGATGGTCTCCTGCTCCAGCTGAAGTGGAGCATATGCCTGCTCAGCACGGTCTGCGCAAGGGTCGGAATCAGAACGGCCAGAGTGAAACTCGGGCTCGGGCTCATCCCCGGAAGCTCATCCCCGGAAGCCAGCCCCCAGACGCTCATCCCCGGAAGCTTGCCCCCAGAAGCCAGCCCCCTTTGCAGCAAGACTCTGAATAGCAGTAAGACACACGCCCTAACCTTCACATAACTCGCTGCAGTGCCCTGCCCATGTGGCACTTATACTACAGTTATTACAATACTGTGCATTCAGGGTATTTAGGTCTCATGCTGTGTTTTCCCTGAATCACACTGGCCACTGTTCTGAAGGCAAAATTGCCCCCAGCACAAGGCATTATGGGTAATGGCACTCACCACGGGGTCATAGTCCCACAGCTGGTTACCCTTCAGGTGATGGCATTTCAGCATCATGACCGGGCCGCTCAGCTTAGACACGTCCAGGCACAGGTCGTCCGTGCGGATCTCCTTATTGGCTGTGTAGGAGAATACCTGTGGGGGGGGCGGGGGGAGAAGTTGGCCTTCCATCCAAATAATCACACGCCGGGCCAATGAGGAACAATTCATAAAATCAATAACCCAGCCAATGACAGCCTGGCCCCACAATGAGGGCGTGACTAATGACCGACACATCCAATGGCCAGCTTCCTCTGGCTCTTCCCAGTGGTGAAGGGGGCAGAACCAGATTGTCCACACAGGAAATCACGGCACGCAGCTCCATGCAACGTAACGTGGTCAGGTGTGTACAGATGGGGACTCTCATTTACCCCAGTAACTGATTTTAGGTTGAAAGCTTCCTCTACCTTGTTACTCCTCCCCCCCACGGTCACATGTTACAGTATCACTTTAATGCCGTTTCAGTCCATCCACCCATGGGAAGAACCCCAATAAACTAAAAAGCATGCAGATAGATTAGATTAAAGTCCCCCCCTGCAGGCACTCCCACGGCACACCCTACTACCCCCAGCGACACCATAACACCCCCACGGCACACCCTACTACCCCCAGCGACACCATAACACCCCCACGGCACACCCTACTACCCCCAGCGACACCATAACACCCCCA